ATATATATATATATATATATATATATGTGTGTGTGTGTGTGTGTGTGTGTGTGTGTGTGCAAAATATAGAAAAATAGGAAAGAACCGTTAGGTTAATAATCCAAAGGACTTTATTTTTGTTTACATTTAAACAAAAAAACAGTGCTCTATACATAAGTAGAGCCTAAATTATAATTATTTTTTTTAAATATGATTCCATCGCTACATAAGAGTTCTCATGTTTCAAAAATAGAAGCTAAAATACCAGCTTCTTTCTAACATGAGAACTCTTATGTAGCAATGGAATCATATATTTAAAAATAATTATTATATATATATATATATGTATGTGTGTGTGTGCGTGTGCGTTCCTGTGTGAGCGTATGTATATATATATATATATCCATATATATATATAAGGAACCATATATATATATATATATATATATATATATATATATATATATATATATATATATATGCACATTTCATTGGATACAACAAAAAGGTGGTTTGATTTAATTTTTATACAATTTCTCCTGTGTACAATCATTTTTCCTTTTCAGATCACATGAGAAATCGTATAAAAAACTAAATCAAAGCACCTTGTCTGTCGTATTCAATGAAATGTGCATGAAAGATGGATTGCTCTATATATATATATATATATATATAGTATATTTCCATTATTCTATTCGTACTTTATGCATTATTTTTTAGTTTCCCACAATTTTCAGAAGGAAAAAAAGAAATAGCCGTTTTTGGACAACGGTAGCCATTGTTTTTCTTTTCAGTTGTTTTAATTCTTGTAAAATCTATGATAGGTTTATTTCATCACCGACGTAATAGAAAAAAAAATCATTACCACTCACCCTAAAACAAAGTCGTTCCTATAATTTTGTTGATTTTAAATCTTCTCAGAAATTAAAGTCGATTTAAACGCTTTCACTATTTATCCATCTTGTTCAATCTAGCATACGCATTACAGTTCTTGTGCTTCTCTATCAAATAAAGTATAAACCTGCGGAAAGTCGAAGAACCCATCGGCCGAAATGATGTGATGAAAACAAGCTATAACCATCTGGTAGTCAGATACTGTATTATTTTTGTTCACTTTTATTTTTTGTCTTTTCACCCTTCTGAATTCAAGCCCTGACTCAGAGTGAAGTACTAGAAACATTAAGTTATAATCTAATGGTTGTAGTGAATACATGACAGGGATAACGTTTAAGTCGATAATAAAAGCCAGAATGAATTCAAAATTGTGTAAACAGATGATATATAAAGAAAAACACACGGTGCATGTTGCAAGACGAAATTAAGAATGAGTTACACTTGTGTTACGGAAGCTGGAGCTGGATGGCAAACGACTGGTCAGCGGTAGGGATGCACCGATAAGCAAATTGGCCGATTACCGATTACCTGCCGATTAATCGGTGCTCCCCTAGTCAAAGGACCTCGTGGGCGTGGAATTCTGACAGTGAGGGATTCACTTTGGCTAAGTTTTGGATATAAGACCAAAAGGGCGCGAAGAGAGCAGTCAACTCGCAAGAAGTTTGACGAGTCAGCCCGCCTCTCGCATCCAAAATTCTTAGAGGGTTTATCACCCACTCCTACGTGGGGAAATGCTAAGCCAAGGATTCGGTATGCGTTCATCTAGACATCTTCCTCCTGTAACCTCCTAGAATCCATGATACCATGCCTGTCCCTCTTGTATAATAAAGCGAATAAGACAAAGAAATCGTCCTTAATACAGACTATGACATATGGGGATCAGAAGGACTGAAGCCAATGGCGACACGGAACGCAATACAAGGTAGAGTCATTAATAGTTATTCAGTAAACAAATTATATACTACCCGACAAGCTAATTTTGTTTTTAATATAAGAGGACACGATTAGTGGAAATTATCTGTATAAAAGACTCTTCGTGAAATAAAATCTCCTGCCCTGTGAAATGAAATAGCTCTCCACAACTTCCTATCCTTTGTAGCACTTAGAAATTTAGCTAAGCTTATTAATTAAGAATTCTTCGAGGATAACGCTAGAATAAAAATGTCACTAAAATATCAGATAAAAAAAAAAAAAACTTTGAAATCTACGCTTATCCTGATTTTTAGTGGAGGTAGTTGTGTGTATACCACTGGTGTCTGTGTTCGAGCCCCTGTTAAAAACCTGTACTTTGAATGCTGATTTTCTAGGCAAGTGAACTCAGTAATATAAAATATGTAACAAGCGAGGCGGATTACATATAAGTACATGTGATTTATTACGCCTTACTTTATATGTGACAAAAAGCCCTGAGTATACAGCAAGCCAGGGAGGATCGAACCAACTAGTTAATCGTAATCATCTTGCGAGACAAGCTGGCTGAGCATTACGTTTACGCTGCAGTGACCTGCAAAGGGGTGATAACAGACACACATAACAAATAAACACAAAAAAATGGTGTTCATGGCTAAAATATTCGGTGGGTGGACTGGTTTAAAATTTAAATTAATCACATTGTCTGGCGTCTCTCTTTCTTTTCGACACAAAAGTATATATGTTTTAGTATGAATTTCATTTTTACAACACTTTCTTAAAAATAAAAAATAAAATGAAAATAAATCCTCCCTGGTCTTTTGAACAGGAATATAGGTTTATCCCTTGTTTCCTGTTCAGGATTGGGTTTTGGACCCCATCTGAAGTTCACTAATATTGTATACTTATAACCTTCCCGCCTAAAACTCTTAACTTTTATTTACCATTTATTTTGTATTTATCTACTTTTTTTCCTCAATAGGAATTGATTGGTTTGCACGCTTTCCCGATATTTAGTACAGGGGTAGAAATCTATCCCTTGTTTCATGTTTAGGATTTGGTTTCCGGTTCCTTCTAAGGTCTTCTTATTCACTTTCACTCCCAGTAAAACATGCTTCTTAGTGGCACTATCGCCTTGCTTGCTTCGGGGTGAAATGATTTTAAAAAATAATTAAAACACATAATTTCAGAAAGTAATAAATATTACTAATTATTTACTGGGTCACTCGGATTAGTGTAATGGTTAACAAGTATGTGTGCCTAGACATTACTACTGAGAACTGAGTTCGATTGCCATTGAGTTCGGAATACTTATAGTCTTATAGCAAACATAAGCGAAGCTTCGTATAAAGCAACTATCCAATATTTGCAATTTTATATAAGGGTAGGTAAAAAAAAAAATTCGTATATTTGCAATTAAAATAAGCCATATTGAGATCAGAAAATAAAATACACACACAGATATTATATATATATATATATATATATATATATATATATATATATATATATATATATATATATATACCTACATACATATATATATATATGTACATACATATATATATATATATATATATATGTATGTATGTACACACACGCACACACACACACACCTGGTTAAGTAAATAAAATATCCGCACTTTCGCCATAACATATCTGTGTTATGAGTTCGGATAATTTTTTTATTTTACTATATATATATATATATATATATATATATATATATACACCTCTCCAAGCATAAATGTCGTCCCTTTAACTGGTGATCTTGTTATATATTCATCTTTATTTATTCACGAGTTGTGCAGTATAAATTCGCATGAATAAATTTCCAAGATTTAAAACGTAGCCTGAGGGAACGAAGTTTAGTTTATTTGTTATTTTCCTATTTCTTGTAAAATCCTCAATACATAAAAGTAAAAATGAGCAATAGCCGGTATGATTGTGGTTCATTTTGTAAAATAATGAATTTTTTTTTGTTCCTTTAAGAATTTGTTCTTCAAAATCTCGACTTTTACCTCGAATTTTCTCATTCCAACTAAGATACGTTTTTGGTAAAATCCACCCTGTCCGAATAGAAATGTTTCCGTTCATAGATTCAGCACTAGAAACGAGCACTCGGACCTTGGACAACACTTTTACTCATCTTGTAAATCCTGTACTTGTAAAATCCATTCCTGGAGAGGGTCTCGGATTGTGTGGCTCATTCAGTAAAGACGCGACTTGTCACGTTAAGGTATTTTTTAAAGCCTCTGTAAGAAGCAAAAGACTTTTCTTTGTTTTTTCCTTCTTTGTTTGTTTCTTGTTTTCTTTAAGTATTTCCCATTCCATACACGTTAAATTTGAATACTTGTAAAATCCAGAGTATCCTCTTAGTAGAAAAAGCATATCACGTTTGCGCAAGTGATGGTGTTATAGCTCATTTGGTAAAATGGTCGCACGTTGTATGAGATATAACTGTTTCAAAACAGTGACAATTGGTAATATGTTTTATTATTTTTTTTTTTTTTCAAATTCCGCATTTCCTGTGATAAGTCTTGTAGTTGTAAAATCCGAAGAACGTGGCTGGTATGTGTTTTAACTGTAGACTGAAAAACAAACAAACAAACAAAAAACATTTTCGATTTCGAAACGTACGCGTGCTTCCCGATGAGTTGAAAAGCACACCAATCGGAAAATTGAACTTTACGTGTTATCGTGTGCTTCGATGGGCGTGGAAGATTTCTTGTGTAGGTATGCATATAGGTTATAGTGGCTCGGCGTAAAAGAAAACAAAAACACACACAAAAAAAAACACAAAAGAAACACAGACGAGAGAATGGGGATTAAAACAATGCATGAAAAAAACAAAAAAAAACAAAACAGGAAAACGGGGTGATGATGAAAGAGAAAGCCTCCACCCTCAAAAAACAAAGGAAAGGAAATGAAAAAAAAAAAAAAAAAATACGGGTAGAAGAAAGAACAAGTGACGCCAATATTAGAGTGGTATTAAAGCTTGTCATCTGATCGCCAAAGTTAAGCAACGTCCAACCAAACCAGTACTAATATGGGTAACATTTTAAGAATATCACACAATGCAAACGGCGTTTAACAATGCTGCTCACTAGCAATTAGCAATGCGAGGGAAATAAAGGCACAAGGCTAAATTATCAGAGCACGTATAATAATCGAACATTCACCGAGATGAGATTAAAAAGCATCCAACAAGTTTTTACTTAAGAACGAGAAAGAAAGTGGAATTTGAAAAAAGGAAAAGAAAAAAAATTGTAAGTTGACAGAAGGCACTGACATTCGTAGAAAAGGAGAAATAAAATACATGGAAATGGCACATATTGGGATAGAGAATGAAGGAGAAAGAAAGAAGAATAAAACTGTAAGATTAAGTGCATGGCTATTTGTAAAAAGGCATAATTGTGATCGACCCAGTGGATATCGAACTCACCCCACCACTAACCAAATGGTTCTCTAACAAAGCACTACACTACGGTAGGAGTTTATGTCTAAGTGTGTATGTAAGGTAGTAAATACAAGTTCCTCATCTCTCTCATATGAACACACCACCACCTCCGCATACATACATACATACATACATACACACATATATATATATATATATATATATATATATATATATATATATATATATATATATATATATATATATGTGTGTGTGTGTGTGTGTATACATTTTTTGCATGTATGTATATGTGTGAGTGTATGTATGCGTGTGTGCGCGTGTGCACTCGAAAGAATTGAGTGATAATGGCTTATGAAAGCGGAACGCTCTCAAAACTCTTTAGAGATTTTATGTTCAAATTCTCCCTGGAAACCAGAAAAATGGTCAGAACCGAGGAAAAATTTAAATTAAAAAAAAGTTAAACAAAGAACGTTTGTTGGTCATTAGCCAAACTTGCATAAATTTTAAGTCCCTGTCCAAACCTATCTATCTATCTATCTATCTATCTTTGAACGTTATTACTAGCGGACATTCCCATCTGAGTAGGCGCTTCGTTTATTTATTAAACATTATATTTATTTATTTCAGTCTACCGGCCTGAATGTTCGAGAAATTTTATCAAGAGTAATTTATACTCTGTGGCAGGGTTTGAACCAGCTTCCCTTTGTCGGATTAATAAACCCATTACATTCTCTCATAAATTCACTTTGTTGACGTTTGTATACGAAACGTATATATATATATATATATATATATATATATATATATATATATATATATATATATATATATATATCAGCTGTTGAAGAATGTTGATGTAGCTATTAAAATAAGTTTATAAAAGAAAGGAAATGACGGCATATAAAAAAGATAAAAAGGAAAGTGTTTTTGAACAATTTGAGTAGTTGATGTAAACAATAGAAACTTTCATTACCTGTGATAAAAAAGAGATATAATTAGAATTCAATAAATAAAAATCTGTATTATTTAAGACGAGAGAGTGAGAGAACTTGTTTGATAGAAGGATATATAGATTAACAAATAGATATGAGAAGACTAAGAAAGATAGATATCAACAGACTGAGGTAGATAGATAAATAGATAGATAGATATGAACAGACTGCGATAGATAGATAGATAGATAGAGAGAGAGAGAGATAATATGAGATACACAGATATGAATAGACTTAGATAGATAGATAGATAGATAGATAGATATGAACAGACTGAGACCGACAGATAGATAGATAGATATGAACAGATTGCGATAGATAGATAGATAGATAGATAGATAGATAGATAGATAGATAGATATGAACAGACTGCGATAGATAGATAGATAGATATAAACAGACTGCGATAGATAGTTAGATAGATAGATATGAACAGACTGCGATAGATAGATAGATAGATAGATAGATAGATAGATAATATGAGATACACGGATATGAATAGACTTAGATAGATATGAACAGACTGAGACAGATAGATAGATAGATAGATAGATAGATAGATAGATAGATAGATATGAACAGACTGCGAGAGATAGATAGATAGATAGATAGATAGATAGATATGAACAGACGGCGATAGATAGATAGATAGATAGATAGATAGATAGATAGATGATAGATAAATTGCGATACATAGATGTGAATAGACTGAGATAGATATGAATAGACTGAGGTCGATACATACTGAGATAGATAGATATGAATAGACTGATATATATATATGTATGTATATATATATATACACACACATACCCACACAAACGCGCGCACACACATATATTTAGAGAGAGACAGACAGAGTGATAGCTAGTATATGCACGTATTTTGAGGAGAATGTGTGGGGCATTTGGTTAACAAGAAAATGCAAAGCGTAAATTGATTTGATCTGAACAAGGATATGGATCCGTGTTTACGTTTATATAAAACGGAGAAGATCATGTGTACAGATCAAAGGTTCTACATTATCGTATAAAAAAAGATCAACTGACGAACACACACACACACACACACACACACACACACACACACACACACACCCCTCTGTATATGTGCGCGTGTGTGTCTTTGTGTGCCTATCCAAAGCCTGTGATTCAATCAACCTTAAAGAAAAAGGGAGAGAGGAAATGACTAGTTAAGAAGGTTACAGATTTTCTGAAGAGAACAACATGCATTTGTAAAGAAACGGGCAGATATAACCATATGCAGAATAGCCAATTATATACCTTGATAACTATTTGTGCATTTTGCATGAGTGTTTCTCGCCTATTATGCATAAATATATACATTCATATATATACACACACACATATATATATACATACATATATATATATATATATATATATATATATATATATATATATATATATATATATATATATATTCATAAATATATATATATATATATATATATATATATATATGTATATATATATATATATATATATATATGTACAAACATATATATATATATATATGTATACATATATATATATATATATATATATATATATATATATATATATATATATATATATATATATATATATATATATATATATATATATATATATATATATATATATATATATACTTGTCCCTTCCCCTTGTTACAAGTATATATACTTGTTTGTTATTTTAGTGTGTTCCCCCCTCTTTTTTGCTCTTCAATATCGTTTATATTCTTTTCGCTAATCCAGCGATTGTCTCCTGATGAGATGTTGGCTGAAAGGGCCTAGAGACTTTTAAAATTAAAATCAATGCATTCCTTATTTTTAAAACTATTTATAAATTTTGTACCTCCAAACATTTGTTTATATATATATATATATATATATATATATATATATATATATATATATATATATATATATATATATATATATATCATAGTTACTTCTGTGCCATAAAATAAATAACGGCGACTTCTGTGATGGATTCTATCTCAACAAGAAACTGACTAGGCAACTGGAAAAGATCAGTTTAAAAACAAGTAGACACAATATTTTTATTTAATAAAACATGTTTGAATGAAGATATACTGCCTACTGTAATAACCATGTTTCAAAAATAGAAGCTAAAATTCGCTTGCGGATGAAAATGAACTAATGTTTTTAATTTAATTACAAAATTAAATTCATAGCTTTTAGCTTCCATTTTTGAAACATGGTTATTACTGAGTAGCGACAAAACATATTTTAAATCAGTCAATTTATAATATAATATAATATATATATATATATATATATATATATATATATATATATATATATATATATATATAATAATATAAAAGCTCAAAAACTAATATTCCATGATTATAATTTATTACATTGGAATTGTAATCACGATCAATTCATCAGACATACAAATTAAAAAAGCTAGGTCTGATGAATTGGATCGTGATTACATTCTAATGCAATAAATTATAACCATGGAATATTGATATTTGAGCCTTTTATATTATATTCTTACTCTCTCCTGGACATTGAGTTCTACCTGGGTTCTATCGTCTTGAGATGTTATATATATATATATATATATATATATATATATATATATATATATATACAGTTGCAATATTGCATGACTAATTTCCTGTTAGACGAGTTCATCAATCTTTACCCCACTTTCTATCCACCTGTGTATATCATTATCTCATTATAAGATTATGACATTATTTTTCACTCTTTCTCTCTCACATTACATTTCATTTGAGAGAGAAAGAGAAAGCGAGAGAAATTACAGTTATTCTTGTATCCCAAATACAATTGTCGCCATGATTAAATTATTTCCTTCAGTTATCCAATCAGCGTCGTTCTTGTTTACTAAGTCACGCTTCTTATTATTTTTCAAATATTTTTTTTCGCGGTATGATTAATCTGTTTCAGGAATAAAAATAAAATTCACTGTGTTCAGAAATTACCACCATTCCAGAAATTTCATGTCTTTTTGTACAAACGAATTGTGGGATAGCTTTTAGTGACCTTGTGTCACATACATTTACTCCTACATAACGAATTCTTTTTTCGCTTTGTCCTCTCTATTGGTGATCTTGTGCCAAGGTAGGCTAAATAAAATATATTAATTTTTCTGTATCTTCTAGTTATTTCATGCTTATCGAAATTTTCGAGAGAAACGCATCTATTTCCAATAAATATTTTTTGTCTGTGTGTATTTGTGTGTGTATTATTTTCTGCGAGAGAAAATCGTCTGTTTGCCTGAGCTGTTTCATCACAGAACCCTTAAGCGACAATCTCCGTTTTGAAAATGGTCGCTTGTAAATCTTGTGAACAACCCTCCTCTACGAATTCCGCGCGCTTATTAAGTAAACAATCTATACCCCGCCCCATCCCGCACCTACCCACCTCGCCAGCGCCCGCTTCTTATTGACCGACAAGCATATTCACTTCCTGCAAGTTAGTGATGGGAGCAACTGAAGACGATGGAGTCTGTTCTCCACTTGGCAGTGGTTCTCGGGAAGAAACTGTTCGAGTGGAACTTACTTCTCAACGATGGAATCTAGAGGAAATGTGGGTGGTTTGCTACAATGTAAGGGACATAGCGGGTCCCCGCCGTGAAGCTGGAAAGCATGGAGCAGAAATAGTGTTCCACAAGCCAGTAGAGAAGAAACAATTAGCATAGAACTTACGGTTACATCTAGCTATGTCAACTGCAGAGATCTCGTCCTCAGTCTTGTAATGCTCTTAAAATCAAAAGGTTTAGGTGCCGTAGCGAAGAGCAATATTTATTTTGTAAAATTGACCAAAATACGGCACAAGGCCAAAAGGGGGAAGCGGAAAGGATAGTCTTAGCTAGCCGCAATCACTGACTCAAACATACTGCAATATTCCTTACAACAAAACAACATGTTCTTACTTATCATACTTACTACATCCACCATAATGCCTCAGAAACTGTATGAAGTCCTAACTAGTCCCCATTGTCTTTGGGGTGAGGGGAATAATAGAACAATTTTAAAATTTAAACCCCAATGTGTATTTACAATATAAAACAGTCTATTTACAAAAAACACTACATAAAATAGAGTTAGTAATACCCCCCCCCCAATCCTTAATTGTGACAGAAACATCAGTTAACTTGACGATATAAATGCGGGACTTTAATAATATAACACTTTTATTCATCCTACCACTTACTCAAGCACAGTTATTCCAACACAACAACAAATACGAAAATCACACCCAAAAAACGAAAAGCGTCCCGCATCCACCAGAAAACTGACATCTCTGGTCATCTAATAGGGTTAGGGGAATTAAACTAAAGAAAGTTGGGGTTTTAAATAAAAGAGGCCAATGAGCTTAAATCCCTAGTTAAATAAACTTTGAAAGAAGAAACTTAAGACAATAAACATCCCTAAACTAAACAAATTTTGCATTGGTTGCCAATTTAGAACAGCATCCTAATGTCTAACCGTCATCTAAGTGTCACTCTAAATCGGTCCCTCTTACTTGACACAAATAATCAGCCATCTTTTACCAAATTCTGATGGAGGGAGACTCCTGCTTTTTGTACCATTCTTGACTTTAAGCTGATGCTTATAGAAAAAGATCAGTTAGGAAAAGATTTACCTCTCGCCCCCATAGTATTCCTTTCTGACGTCTCTTCCGTATCACGACTCAAGGCCTACCAAGCAAAATACCACATAAGCGTTCAGCCTTTATCAACGTCCGTATCACATTGCTACAGACAGAACGGGCCTCGAGGACAAAAAACTTTCCGCGCAGCATGCAAACCATGATATCTTCAATAAACTTGTCCAACGGGACTACGACTCTGCACTGAAAGGTGTAATCCAGGGTCTTCACTTCTTCATCAAAGCGAACGCAATTTGGATAATTTTCAAGACCGCCGAACAAAGTCTTTTTTCTGAACCGGAGGGCCCTTCGAATCACTATCCAGGTGAGTGATGCCTCATCATTCTTAAGGCATTTCGACCCTAGCAACCAAGGCCATATTGAGCGAACCTCCTACTTTGTAAGACCGAACTCGTCTATCAGATCATCTTGTACGGACCCTCCTAACTAACACGCAATATAATGACTTTCGGGACAACGCCTGAACGTCGGAGAGATCATCCGTCACCCGTAAAAGGTATTTAAGAGCAATCCGACATTCACGATAGAAGGAACACTCGCCTCGAGGTAAACGAATGTACAGTTCTCAGGGATGGGACGTTCTTACGGGCGTCTTGCTTCTAGAATTCGCCCTCACCATCCGATTGCTGACATATTCGACCTAGGAAGTCCATACAAAGCGTATGGTCCCAATGCTAGGCATACCCAGGACCGATTCATATGGGTACCCGAATTACCTTGAGAGACTTGCCTCCCCACAAGAAAGACAACAAGAGTCTTACTAATGAAATTAGCGTGGCAAACGGAAGTGGAGTACGGAGTGTATGCGAAGGGGAATCGGGTAGATGTGCGAAGCACATACTTCAGCCCTCCGTTTATGGAAAGATTATTCCGGGACCACAGACCAATTACGACCTCGACCTTCTCTTGAATATCCGATCAATTCCTTTCCAAGTGGAGATGGGACTGAACCAGATACTGAGTATCTTGACCTCCCCGTCCGCTTAGAGGAAGATCTGGGAAGAGAAACTCCTTTC